GTCTAGTGTATGTAATTACACTTCTGAATCACACTAACTCAATATAAAGAAGTTAATATGTATGTTGATCTTTCTTATTGCGTTATAAAAAGTCATATAATAATCTAGGTAATATATTCATGACATTTGTTCATGGAAGTAGTCTTAAATTTTTCTATGTATTAACTTTTGTTTTGATTTTTAAGTTTTAGGGGTTGTTGAGTTGTGCAAAAAGTAGGTGAACATTATTTCTTTTCCTACGCTTCACTTTTTTCTTGTTTAGCAGAAAAATATTAGAATGAGGTGCAATTTTTTGCTGTGTTCCAAATACAAGTATTATAACTTTCTCCGTGACTTCGAGAGCCGGCAAAATCAACTGAATTTCCATTACGAAGCACCCACAGACAGTTGTCGCCTGCTGTCACTGACGCCTCTCAGCAGTAGGTCACCCGCCTGCTTGACACTGTCCACCACATCGTCCTCTGTCAGTTGTAGGCCGCCTTCTGGCAAATCGACTACCTCGCTAGCCCTGCCCGCCCCCTCCTCCAGCCCTAACACTCCCCTGCTTTTTTCCACCTCTTGTTGCTCGCTGCCACCTATCGATGGCTTTCATTGCAACGCACCAACCCCGCCCGCCCACCGCTATAATTTCTTCTGCTTTTACCTTCATCGCTAGCATCCCCAGCCACTGCGGACCATCCACCCCCCGCCACTGCTTAGTCCTGCTGATTACTGTTGCCATCGACTCACACATAATCATGAAAAATACCATTTTCATTTTACTTCAAACCAAACAAAAATAAAACGAAGTGGTTATTTTATTTTACGTAAAATCAAACAACTCAATAGCATTTTAAATACAATACATTACTCTGCATTGTATTTATTTAATACTAAATTACTTTTTAGCAAACGTTGATACTTTAAACTTTTGTGTACTTTTTACTCATAATTTTTGCTTCAATCTTAGGAGCACTGTCTTAAGCATAACGTAATAAATCTCTGGCCGATACGTACCGTTAGCACAACGGGGCGCAAAAGATGTCCACTATTATCTGAGGTGAAAAAGTACCTACTCACCACAGGTATTCTCTCATTAGCATATTAGTTCATGATCTAAATTTTATGATTATCTGAGGTAGTAGTAAATCTACGCTTGCAGGTATGTTGAAGTCCACAACTAGTATCATTAGAGATTAAACTCCTGTTCTCATCATGCACATAGGAACAATTCATGTATATAATATTTTTATTTTTATTTTAATAGTACACTATTTTTTATGAGATGGTTTATATTTATCTATCATTGAATAAATGCATTTTTAATATAATATAAAGCTTATGTGATAATCTGATAATTTTCTGAAAAAAAATTGTGCAATTATTTATACAAGAATGTTAAATTATGTATCTCATGCCCAAGAAACAGTTGTAATCTAAATCACACTTGTATAAAACATAATTGCAATCACAAATACATTTAAAAATAAGAAATATTAATGTAATTTTGAAGCATAATTACTCACCTCAATTCCTTTAACCTTTTTACTCTCTAAGTTGTATCTCCTTTATTGAACACATATAACATAAGAAATATCCATATTAATAAATTATTAATCAATATTTTAATTATTTTATAATTACATCATTTTTTATTAAGATTGTAATCTTTTAATTTTAAATTTAATTCTTAAAATTAAAATTAATGTTATATAACATTAAGTTAAACAAATTTTTTCTTAGAATAAAATCTCAACGTTTTTTATTGTCACCAACTGTTATTATTTTTCGATCCAAATATTTTTTTCACCTCTGATTTCTATTATTAATTCCTAAATCAATAATTATTACAATTGGGTTAAATATGTTAAATTTCAAAAATAAGAGTTAAATCCTAACTTTACCTCAGTTAACCTCTTCTTCAGTTTTGTAATTGACGATCTAAATCTCTCTCAATCTTTTAATTCATAAAATTTTAATATTAATTTAGTAACAATTTTTATTATAATAATTTTTGAAATTAAAAACAAAATATCCATATATATACCCTGATCACTTAAAAGGTTTTAACTCGGCTCTTCCTCTATTCTTACATGAAAGCCACTTGGTTCCTCCTCCCTTTAGTCTCGCCAGACTTTGTTTGTCCTTCGCTGCACTGTTCAGCTAGGGTTTGCATTGTCTTGCACAAAGCCTTCTTTATACGCACATAGAGCCGACTCGGTTACAACATCACACCAAGCCGCTAGGCTTACTCGGCTTCGTACCCTCTGCTCGACTTCAAATCAACCCTAAATTCCCTTTCACTTTTCTTCATTCGCATTTTGCTGCTCGGCTTCGACGCTTCAGTGACATTGCTTTTGCACATGAGACGTCACCCTTGTCTTCGCTACTGCTCGCAGTCGAATGACTTGTTGGAGTTGTCTCCTGCACCTCTCATGTTCGCTTCCAAAATGTTACGCACAACTTTGGCCCCGTTTGTTTGGGCTTTAAAAACCAGCTTTTGTGTAAAATGCTGTTTTAGAAGTGTTTGTTTCGCCCTTTTTCTGTCTTGTGGTCACGACTGGCGTTTCGATTTACATTATATTTATGAATACGGACCGTGTGGTGCATTCTGCGATTTGCGAATAAAAAATTACGCGAATACCCTTGAAATTGGTCTCGCTATTTTCGATCCTCAACCTCGCTCCCATTGTGCCCTAGCCGTTCGAGAAGGCCTGCCCTGCTAGCCTTGCCTCTCTTCGATAGTCCTCGTCTCCATTTTGCCGCATGTATGATCCTCGTAAAAACGCACATACTTGAGAGCAGGAATCACAAGTCCATTTCACCTATATTCTTCTACTCAACCCCTCCCCTTCTCCTACATTTCTTTGTCATTACTCTTCTCCTATGTTCTTCCTAAAAGACATATTTTCTTGTGGAGGGAAAAGGCATTATTGTCCTATTTCACCATTTATGATGAGATGATGGAAACAATTAGTTATGTTTTACAATGAGTTCGGGCATATGCAGAAGGTTCCTCTGCAAATTTCGCTTATTTATGGAGCAGACAGAAGCTAATCTGAATTTTAAGGAAGATTTGCACGCATACCAGTCAATTCGAATGTGTTTACATATGTAACACAAAAAACTTCAATTTTTTTGAATGCTGGACACCTTGCCTATGCTTGAGTTGGTTTATTCTCTTTTTAAAGGTTGGATGATGTTATTTTTCTTGTGTTATGAAAAATTTGGGTGGTATAATGATTTAAAAAAAAAAGAAAAGAAAAGTTCAGGTGTTATATATGCGAATCGATAGGAATTAGCTCGTATGCATGTAAATGCCCCTTAATTTTTGGATAGATTGGTAGGACATCTGATGCAAATGTTTTCCTCCTCTTTTTGTCTGGTATGATTGTGAGCATTCCTTTTATTTAAGTTGTATGGGAGAGGATTTTGTATATGCAAGCTTCAACCATTGCTATTTTATATGAAGTGAATTTTGTGGGGGAATTGACGTGTATACTAGTTAATTTCTTTAAATATATATAGCTAACACTTAAAGTTCTATATGTATGGGTCTAATAGTTAGGTGTAACGATGCTATGCATAAGAAAGTGGATTTCACCTAAAGTTACTAGAGGTGTTCCTAAAATTAGAGTCTTATTATCTCCTTCCACTTTTATGCTTCACACTTGCAATATTCAATAGTTGTCTTCGGGAATTTATGTTGCATATGTGAATCTGTGGCACTTGTGTGGTAAATATTTTTGGTGCTAAAATATTGACAGTATTTGGAAGTTATTTTAATTCCTTTTTCATCAGGTAAATACTCAGCTCATTTTTTTTTCTTTTTGAGTTTCTTCTTGTACTTCTTTGTTGTTGTAGCCCTGTTTCCGGTAGTGTTTTGTCCCTTGTTTTTTAGGTGCTTATATTGGATTCCTGGCAGCTAAGATCTCTTACATTAAGGGCTTGTTACCCTTTCGTATAAGCAATGAAATTCATTATTTTTATGCTAATCATTCTTGTACAGGATTGTACTGTCGAAAATGCATAGAAATCGGATTTATCCCTCACTATCGTTACAAGCAGGTAAAATTGAGCATTACATGAACAGAGGAATGTGAGTACCAAGGGGTATTCATCGCCTACTCTCCAATATGATAGAGGCACAACACTTGATAGAGAAGAATATTATACTTCAAAGAGCAAATCCAGAAAACAGTTTGAAATGCATAGAATTAACCAGTCCCAAAATCAGTCTCATATTTATATCCAAAACCGGATAATCAAACCCATTTCTCTCTCAAATAAGGTAAATAGGACTCTAATAGAGCTGGCCTGCTCTGATGGGCGGGAAAATTTGAATCCGTATTGGTTCAGCTCTCCCAATTCGGTTGGGAGCGGAACTCACAACCTCTATCCTCCTGAGGCGGAAGCAATGATCCACGTCAATAGACCATTTAACGTGTTCTATAACTGCTGTGCTAAATTTCTGAAAATAAGCAGCAGCAGTAGATTTGTATTTAATAACCGTTATTTGTTTTCACTCTTTCAAGGCCTGTTAATAGCCTTTAAATTAACTAGATGCCATTTCCTGTTGACTGGTTTTAGGTGCAGTTCTTTATAAGTTCAAGAGTAGTCAGGCATAATTTATTTCAACCATTTTTATGTTCAATTTAAGGACTATGAAATATTGGGTTTTCAATCATCGTACCTATGCTTCTGTCCTTGTAAATGGATTTCAGGGTTGCTAGCACATTTTACACTTTGATGTTGCAAAGCCTTGGTTTTTGAGATAAATTTGTATCAAGAGAAGCCTTTTGTGTCTTCCTGTGAGGCTGTAATTGAATTTGATTATCTCATTATTACCGTTTATTGTTAGGTTAAAGATGTTCTTTTTGGCTATTCATATTTTTTCAATAAATCTTATTGTATTTGAATATTTTGTATGCAATTTTTTGCTTCTTAAGTTTTCTAAAGAACATAGCTTGAATATCATGTATTTGATGATGCTTATTTCTTATGTCTCTACCATTTCGCAGAATCATTCATAAGGCCACCTGTGTCATGGAAGTTTTGAAAGAAACTTTGAATGCCTTGGCTACTAGACACTCAGAGGTACATCTATTTATGATTTAGTATCCTGTGAAATGAATGAAAGATATAAAAGCATCTAATCAACCCTTGAAATGTGTGCAAATGTATGACATCGGTTTTTCTTCAGGTTGAACAAACAAACCACCATATGTGATTTTTTACTTTTTGACAAGTCACTTCACCAATCGAACAAATTGTCTTAGTTATAAACTGTAGAGCCCAACTGTGGTCTTATTTTTGTTGATGCATTTTTTTTGACAATTGTGAATGTGAAACTGTTGATAAAACTCCAGAAGGTAACATTTGATAATGTTTTGAATATTGCTAATAATTAATTGAAACAAACATTATTATAATAATCAATTTTTATTAATGAAACGTTGATTATGTGAATGATCCTTAAGCAAAGCTTAGGTTAACTTTGTGAATTAAAGATAATGAGTTGGGAGTCCTTGAAAAACTGTTCCTTTAATGTTGGTTATAGTTGCATTTCCAGATCTTGCGTGTTGATTCCCATGCATTGATAAATCTTTTTCAACTAATTATTTGAAAGGAGAGAGTGATGCGCCCGCAATCTCTTGATCACGAGAACCCACAATCCCCTCGAATCGAAAAGGCCAAACAGGATGTTCCCTATGTTGCCAATTTCATTAGGATTCTTATCTTTTTTATATTATGTCATATTTTCTTATTTCTTATTTATTTATTTCTTCTTTTTCTTCAATTCGGCTCGTTCCTATTAGAAGACTATATATGTCTATATTTTGCTATTTTGGAGACAAGTGGCTATTGAGTTTGTGTCTCAGAGATTTTGTTTGTTCTCTATCTTATGCTTTTCGGAGTGCTGTATATTTTTCTTTTGCAAGTGATGTGCTTGTATATTGCTCAAAAACTAATGATGGAATATCCTCCCCGCCTTGGAATTGTCTTTTCCTTGTTTGAACCACTATTTTCAGACTGGACAGCTGTCGAATGCGTCGGATCTACTATCGAACAGTAGATTTCACCGCCTATTATTTTCAAGCGCTGCTAGTCACCCCTATCCTCTTATACTTTCACAACCACCTCCTTGCAAATCTGCTTCACGAACACCTTGTAGGTGTTATGGAACAATATCAGCTAGTATTAGAGCCCAACAATTTCTAAACTTTCAGTGATTTTTTTTTCCAAAATCTAAAATTCTTATAATTTTTTTTACAATATTTAAATATTTCTTATTTCAATTCTTAGCCCCAATCTAAAATTTCTATAATTTAACGTGTTAACTTTTACCAAAAATCAACACCATGGCCTGTCATTAAAACCGAAACCGTTGACCAACCTTGATTTGCAACCCTACACCTTTCAAAAATCTGATCGGGAAAAAACTCCATGGCGCTAAGGAATAATCTTCAATGAGTTGTCCAAGACTATGGAGATATGTAGTTGGAAATTCTCCAACTACGACAAAGACTTAAACATTTGAGAGGAGACAATCCAGTGAGATCACTCATAACTACAATTGTGCTTCGTCGGATTGAGAGAGGAAGTGGATCTCTTCTATCGGAAAGTTTTTAGTGACAAAAATCTTACTCCTGCGATTTGACATAGCATATCAGAGAAATCAGAATGTTGGAGTGAAGATTGACTTATCGATTTTGATGATTGCATGAATTCAGATGAGTTCATTGAGTAGCTTCAGATAATGGAATAAGTCTTTTGGTATAAGGATGTTTCGTTTGATAGAAGGGTTAAGCAAGCCCCTATTAAGAAAGAATGCTTACTTATGATGGGAGAACTTAAACCTTCTATGCCAATGAGTGAAAAAAATAAAATTACTGTCTGATCTAAAATGGAAAGAGAGATGCATCATAAATATCTTTCCTAGTATTTTTGTCAGGATATTTCATAAATTCCACCACATGCACTAGAGAGATTCTTTTGTGGAGTACACAATTGAGTTTGATCAACTCAAGCTGAAGCATGAGTTGGTGGAAACCATAGGAGCACACAATAGGGAGGTATCTTGGAGGACTGGGGTCTTCTATTAATAATGTATTCCATCTTCAACCGTATTGATCCTTAGTTGATGTATAGACTCTAGTTTTGAAGGTGAAAGAACAATGTGCCAAAACTTACAGTCAAAGTTCAACTCTAGGATCGTACAACAGAGTATATTTAGTGGAGCATCCGAGCTGACTCCGCTTGAAAAGAAATTAATTTAAAATTGGAGAAAAAGTGGAGACAACAACACACTCAAATTTTTTTGTAACTAATAAGTATTTCAATTCTCATTGCTTCGTGAATAATGCATTTTATTGTTCAAACAAGAGGATGATAACTTTCGTGAGTTTAGAATAGTTAAAGAAATTGACAGTGACACACGAAGGGATGAAGATGTCAAAGAATATCAATTTGCAGCTGACGAGGGAGAGATGCCAGTGATTTAAGCTAAGCTCATAAGACAGACTTCAACAGAATTAGCATTGATTATCCTAGGTGACAATGAGTCCAAGGAGCCTATACCAGACAAAGGGCAACCCTTGATAAATGAATTTTAGGATTGTTTGACCTACAACCTCTCCTAGGTTGCCACCACTCAGAGAGGTCCAATATGTCTTCATTTCGGATAGAAATGAGATGTATTTGTGATTTTTGGAAGACTATGGGATAAATTAATTACTAAGTTCCATTTTAGTTCAACAACACACCACAAATAGATGGCCAGACAGGATCGTTGCACTACATTTGTGGAAATTTTGTTGTGTTTTGTGGGCAGGAACATCCAACGATGAGATTTAGATCATTCTAGAGAAGTGGGAGCCTCTTCTAATTGGAGAGATTGGTGCAAGAACTCCTTGCATAATTGTGGAAGCGGAAGTTCCGTGATCTATCGATCGCGGTGTCCTACAATCTCGTCAAATAGGGGAAGTCGAACGAGATGTTCTGCTTGGTTGCCAATTTCTATTGGGATTCTTACCTTTTTTTGCTTTATTTCTTATTTTTATATTTCCTATTTTCTTTTTTCTATTTTTTATTTTCTATTTTTATATTTTCAATATATATATATATATATATATTGAGAAAGGCCATTGGCTAATTTTCTATTTTTCTATTTTCAATATATATATATATATATATATATATATTGAGAAAGGCCATTGGCTAATATATTCAAATGGTTCCAAAAAGAAAGAAATATAGAAAAATACATGAGAGACCTGATGAAAAAAACCAAAAAGTGCCAAAATACTGGATATCAGGTAGCTAGAGAGCGACCCAATTTTGCCTTGATGAGTGTCATTTCCAGTAGTAACCAATGTATCATCCAATAAA